CGTAGTTTCTGTCCCTGTGAGACTGAGAAGAGAATAGGAAGAGCAAAAGCAAGAAAACTGTTGCGCTGAGGTAAGTCTACCTGCCAGACCAATCCTCCATCCCACTCAGTTTTCCTTGTTGAGCAAGATCTTATATGGTATGAAATGTCCCTGCACTATAGGAGCTGCTAGAAGACAATTATCTCCATCCCAGCCAGACCCATCACAACTTTATTACTATTGTACAAAGCACAGTAAAGCTTAAAATTTTCCATAACTAATGTGAGCCATGGCTTATGCCATGAGATCTGCACCAGTGCAAGACTGAAATCTAGCTATACAGAGCTACATTGCTAGTATCAGACTTTGGTCTGTCTTGGGGCCATTAAGTTTTATTATACTACAAACAATAACAATAGATTGTGTAAATTAACATGGTAATTACGAGAATAATTTTAGGCATTGACATCATCATATGGCATTACTTGGGGCCATTGATCAATTTGTATCAATTCCAGGTTCAGAGCTTTTTGGGATGTAAAACCCTTAGTAACAGTGTGTTGTCAGGTTCTGTGTATCACCACAGCTTCTTTGAGTGTTTAATTAAATATGACCTTTTAGATGAAGAAAGACCTTTGTCTTTATACATCTCAAAACTGGGAAAAGATATAGTGCTAAAAAGTGTTTGTGTGCTGAGACCAAAGCTAAATTGTTATGTTAAGAATTAATATTTTGGGTGATGAAAATAAAGTCAAAAGCCTTATAAGGGACATATTTTAGAAATGTATGCAACCCAGTAGACATAATATATACTATATAATCATATGGAGTTGGTAGATAATGCAACAATTGCTACTGATTAAAAAGAGCTGGGTACTTCAAGCTCATGTTGTTAGAATTTTAAGCTTTTTTTTTCTAGTTGGACCAGTAGCAATTGCACTGGTCCGACAAGATGTGGTTTAGATTTGTTTTCAGGAATTAATCAGGGATTCCTCTTCTAGTTGGCTGGTAGCAAGCTAAGTGTGTCCCACAGGAATAGCTCTGACAGTAACATCTAAGTTGGGAAAATGGCTTTACTAACAAAATATCCCCTAGATTTGACACCAAAGAGAAACAAAGAGAAAAGATCAAATCCTAGTATTACTAGTACTAATAAAGGCATTGTTATCATACGTCAATACAGTACTGAAGTCATATTCTGCATTGATTTCATTGCAGGCAGTTTGTATCACCTATGTTTTAAAAACAAGCAATTCTGAAATACACAGTGGGAAGTGTTTTAGCTTAAAGTCCTACACTTTGCTCCAGAATGCGTCAGATCAATTTCTTAATCAAAGAACGATATTATACTGGCTTCAGTACACTCACCAACAAAACCTGTGTTGCTTAACTCTTAGGTTTTTGTCATTTTCAGTTAGAAATGGTTCTTCATAGCTCAGTTAAAGACCTGTGTCACTTTGTCCCTGAACATTTCAGTAGTAAAGCGTGAACTGATGTATAAATCAAATCACTAATAAGTAAACAATTTAGCACATGAATATATTCTTATATGACAGATGAGGATATATCAACAGAAAGAGCAACTTGAACTCACAGGGAGGCTATCATTTTTTAAGGCACTTATCCAGTGAAAAATGTGTATAAAAACATTATTATTACAACTTAATAATGTGAAAAAGACAGGTTCAAAAATAGCTGGCCTCTGAGAGTCCTATTTGAAACTCCATAAAGTAGCCTTGTTTTTCACATATGATGAAAGCCCATGCTTCAGTGTATTAGAACAGCTCAGGGAAAAAAGTAATTGAAGTGCAGGTCTTCTATATGTATGATCTACTGTGATTATATATAACGTATTCTTGCCTATCAAAACCTATTAGTTGTAATTTTCTCTTTCCTTGATTTTTGTTTAAACTTCCTTTTTTGTTTTTTTTTTCTTTTTTTGTTTTTTTGTTTGGTTTTTTTTTTTTTTTTAAAAATTGCTGCTATACCAGGGTCTTTCTGGTACCTTCCCTTCTGGAACTCCAAATAAGAGACAAGTGCAGTGGAGGTGTAGTTTCTGGGATCCAGTGTTGCTCTTGCTATAAGATTGTTCATTCATCATGAACCTGTTTTGGAGTTTGGATACAGCAATAAAATTTATCCAATAATAAGACTTTCACCTGTCAATGCTTGTATGTTGTCTGAGATGTTCAACTGAGTGTTTGACTTTGTTTATTATCATGCATTTTGCTTGTCTGTGCTCAGCTATTTATCATTATTTGTAGTCTTTCCATGTGACTTTGCAGTTAATTTCCTTGATATTTTACTCCTTTAATTTACATTTCCTCTTTGCACCAGTATACAGCTGTGCATCTTCTAGCCTGATGAGAGATCTCCTTACTTTTAAAATTCGGGAAGCTGGTTCAATTATGATTGAAAGAGTAACGCTGAGCTTATTTGTCCATTGTCAAATACATCTCCTACATGTTGCAGGAGCCAGTTTCCTGTTGGACCATTTCAAATGCTACAAAACCACGTTGTGATTTATCTGTAATTTTTTCTTTCATAGTGTGTGGGTTTTTTTACTTAGGACTCTCTCCTCTGTTAGTCTGTTTCCTTCCATGACCTTGGTCCAAGTTGCCCTAGCTCCCTGTCCATTACATTTCAAATTTTTTCATTCCTCTCAACTGTTTATGTGCAAGATATTGTGTTGGAAATACTGTGGATGGAGGGACCCACACTTGAATCAGAAAATGGGACAAATTTCATTGTACCCCCTCTCCCCAAATTTGTAGTAGGGTAATTTTGGTTTTAATAATTATATTTTATCTAAATACAGAAAAATATTAGGTTGGGAAGCAGTAGAAAAATAAACAAATCTTGGGATGGGATGAATCTGTTGTGCTTTCTTTGAAATATATCAGCAAATGCTCTCTAATGACTGTATTTTGAATACACAAAAGGCTGTGGAGTACTTTACCCCAAATGCCAATAAACAGCCTTCATAATTCTGCAGTCAGTTTCTATGAGATGAAAGCACTCTGCAGAAAAAGAATTTTCAGGAGTTTATCCGCTACTGGTGAGAGATAGTTTAATAAGATGAGCCCCACATAACGACGATCGAAAGAAAACCTTATTCTCTCATTTTAAACTGAGCCAAGGTGCCTGTGTTGACAATCACAGTCCTGCTTGAGTCATGGAAGTTGTATACGCTAGGAGGATCTTCTGACAATGAGTTAATGCTCTTGTCTCTCAGACAACAATTTTTAAATAAAATTGGCTTGCTCTGCTTTTGACAAAATGCTTTTGTCATACTTGCATAAATATTGAAACAAAATAACCAGTTATACAGCCAATGATTTATACTAACGCTTAGTGGTATTTCACTGAACTGGAGCACTTTAGGAGCAGGAGAGGTAGGAACTTGAACCATCAATTCTTTGTTGTGCAGTTTGGCTCATGCTCAGCCGCGGAAGGTATTATTCAAGCTCAGTACTTGTGTGGTGTTAGGGAACAAAAACCAAAATCAGGTTTGGACTCCATTCAGCTTTCATTCAGGTCAACAAAGTCTTTTCAGCAAAATGTTTCATACTGTTTCTTTTATTCTAGTTTTAAATAAACAAAGGAGAATGGTCTCACCCTTGCTGGGTTTCTTCTTTCCTGTTAACCATGAGTACAATTTTTTGCCTAGTCATGTCTCTATTTTTTACTTTTCCTAGGTTTTTATGTCAGCTTTACTAAATCCTGGTAATCCCCTTTTTCCACTCCAGATAATGGTTCTCTTTTCCAATAATTTAAATCTTTCAAACAGTTTTCTCTTAATAGTATCCTTCTGTTTTTCTGGGTTTTTTTTAAGCTGCGAGCATCTTTCCAGCTTAGTGATGTATACCACATTTCAAAAATTATCATAGAAAAAATGTCCTTTATTATTTTTGTCTTTATTAGTCACTAGTAATAGTAGTAATGACAATAAAGGCGGTTTTATTATACAGCATTAGCAGCATGAGACATCCTATCAAGCTCTAGTTCTTGCTTAAAACAAACTAAAAGTCTTCAACAGCTGAAATGGGATCTAAAATTGAGGTTTCTCTTGGCACCCTTGCTTAAGACCTTGCAAAGCCACATATAAAGAACAATTGCAGTGGTTCTGGTCTGGCACTTGATCTTCCTCCCACCGCCTGAACGGGTATCTGTTTAAAACACCTACTGTCTGCTAAGAGCACCCTTGCAAAGAGACTGCCTGGCCTGGCTAGGCCTTCTGTATGGGCCAACTGCTTAGAGAATACCACCCTTCCTATGCAAGCCTTGAATAATAACACGGTGGGCTTGTGTGCTCCAAGGGTGTGCTGCTTATCAGCAATGGATAATCACCACAGTGATGATTTAGAGTGTAAAAATTATATCAGGATGAATCAGTAGCCAGGACAGTTTTGAATTACCCTGTCTTAATGGGAACTAAAACTTCAGGTTTTGAAGAGAGGTATACTGGTGTTTCTTTAAAAACAAACAAAAAAAAGTGCTTAGGGACATGGTTTAGTGGTTGATGGCAGGGTTAGGTTAACAGTTGGACTTGATGATCTTAAAGGTCTTTTCCAACCTAAACAATTCTATGATTCTATGATTCTTCATGCAGTGAGGTATGAATGAGCTTTAAAAAGATCTCCGGCCACAGTAAAGCCTGATGCTTCTGTTGTTATTTCAAGAACATTTCTGGTCGTCTGGGTCAGGGAAGGATTTTTAACTGATTCTTTGGAAGCTGCTTTGTCTTACTACTGATGGCATTATGAATATAGTTATTTTGCTAAAGATATTAAAAAAAATGTGCCTATATTTAAGAACATTTTCTGGTTTAATGTGTTCATTCATATTTCGTGTTCTAAATACCATGTTATTTAATATTACAGCATGTATCCTATTGAACCAATAACACAGAATGAAGGTAATTCCCCTCTAAAGGAGCTTAGTCTAAATGATTCTGGTTTCTCCACAGTGATTGCACTTTAAGAAAATTGCAACGGGTTATTTTTTCTTGCATCTTCCAGGCTCTAACCAGAGAATTACAGCACAGCGTACAAGAGCTGAGAACAAAAATCAAACAGGCAAAAAAAAAGGGAGAAGTGAGAGCATGCAAAAAGGGTCTTTCCCAAGAGTCTGTTCAGTTGGCAGCATCTATCCTTAATGTTTCAACAACTGATCTTGAGGAGATATTAGAAGTAGAAGATGATGAGGTAAGTTATTTAAAGGACTCTTCAGTTAAAAGGGCCTAGATTGGAAGATGCTGTATTTTTCTGTTCTTGAGGGAAAAGATTTCCAGGTAAAGACTGGAATTTCATTGTGCAGCATCCAGCACAAAAAGAACAGAAAAGTTGGATTTAAATAAAAAGGTCGGGTTAGAGACTCATAAGGTGACAAGACTTTGGGCATGCATAAATAAAATATAAATATACTGGTTTGAGCATGTAGATGTAGCGACATTATTTGAAAACCTTTAGTAGTTTCCTTTTTCATGAGACTATTTGGCAGGGTTATACATTTTAAATAGACTACTGCATTAATGAAAACAAAATTAGAATGTGTCTTGCTGTGCTAGATTGATTCCGTTGATGCTTCCTTTCTTGAATTGTGATACCTATTAAAGGTATTTCTAGTAGACAGATGGTTTCTGGGGGAATCCATTGCCTTCTTTTGTTGATTCTATCATTTTACTATTCATACATTTTACTATGAAATACTTGATAGTGTTTCATCAAACCACCCACTATTAAATAGATACAGTAATAGGATTTCTTATCCAGATTTATTTAGGCATGATCAAATAAGACATGAAAATGCCTGTACACTTACTTTAATAAGAGTGTCTAGGAGCTGGCCATTATTGGGCTGTAACAGCGCTCTGGTTAGGTTTGGCCTTACTGGAGCTTTATATTACAGAAGTCACAAAAGAGAGTTTTCATGTTGGTTAAGTAAAGGTGCATTGGGTGTGTATGCACTGATATGTGTTACATTCATGAATACAAATAAAATGGACCCATTTCTGGCCCATTTACTAACATTTATACACCCCTGTAAAGTGATTCACTTTGACAGAATTGTTCCATGGTTACCTCATTCTCAAAGTAATTTCTGCATCCTATACATTTTGTTGTAATCACTGTTCTGAGTATGTGTGTAAAACACATAGGTTTGCTTAAATATAAATAGAAAACAAAATTAAAATACAGGTGATGAATTTACACTACACAAATTTTAGATACATATTTCATTTATCAGTGTGTAGACTCGGGGACCTTTACAATGAAGTCGTAAAATTTACACATCGATCACAGGTACACCTGTATATTGATGTGAAAAGAACATGCCGTGCACGTTTCTAGGGACCATGACGGACAAGGATAGGTTTATAAATTTAACAGAGCCCTCATACTTGGTGAATATGCTTCAGATAACTAGTTTTGCAGGCATAGTTCCCTTTAATGTATTTAATTAATTTAATGTATATCCAGTTACACATTTCCTTTATTGTTCATTATGTTCTTCTCAGGTGGTGTCAAAATACTGTGTCTGTTATATTTTTCTATATTTTTCTATTTTTAGGAAACAGCAAAGACAAAAATGGAATTTGAAAAAGATAAAGAGTGGCTGCAGTATATACAGAAACTTCTTGAAGCACAGGTGCTAAATTTACCTCTTTCCTTAATGAATTGCAACTTTCTATTCTGAGTAGCTAAGTGGTTTTAGGTTGTAAGTAATCTGCATTTGTAACTACGTTGCCATTGATGGTCCCAAACTATACTGTGATAAGGCAATGTAAAATCCTTGGTTTGTAGCATTTCCTTTTTATTTCTCTTAAAATAAGAATTACTGGATAAAACTAAAGAGATAAAAAGCAAGGATTCATGATAGCTAACTTAACGGCTGAAACCAGTGAAACAATGCTGGAGAAAACCTGCACAGATCTTGGCAAATGTGTTAATTGAATTATTGAGACAGTGTGTAATGCTTGCTAGAGTGAAAGGGATCCATTCTCTCATACCTCTTAGGAAAAAGGGATTTTTTATTATGTGCCTTTAAAGTTAGTAGTTGATATGGACACCTGAGGAGTTCATGGGTTTCAGTGACCTTTTACTGTGGACCTGTTTCCAGTCAATTCATGTTTTCCTCATAGCCAGACAGCTGTTTATTATCGTGTCTTCCCGCATTCTCTACAATATTTTCTACTGAGACCTCGAGCAGCTTGTTAGTGGGAAGTAAATATTGATTTGGCATCCTGTCAATGCAGAAAGAATGAAAAAATTTCCACCAGAGGCCCCTCAAACATTTTCCTATCGACATTTTCTGGGCAGAGAGGAAAGCTGCATAGAGGATGACAAGGCTGAGACTAGCAGAAATCCCTGAGGGGTCCATTGAGACTGCCGCTGTGACCTGTGTGATACTTTTTCTTCTCTTTCAAGTCTTTTTTTTAATACACACAGAGTCTGCTGGGATGCTCCCCTCTTGTAAGTGATCAAGGGCAGTTTATTGGCAGGGGGGGGCCCTGTTTTTTTAGCCATAGTCAGCTTTTGTTTGGACATCACTGACAACATGCACTGACTCTCGAAACTTTTCCATTATATTTTAGTTGTCTCCTTTATTCAGATGATGGGTAGCTGATGTCTGAAAAGAAATAAAATTTGATTTATAAATCCAGTGCTCCTAATGCATATTCACTAGCATGGGTCCATTAGCGATGTAGTTCATTTCTGTTAAGAATGTGAATGACTGAAAATATTTTGAAAGCCATTTCAAGGGAACAATCACATTCAGATTTATGTATTTTGTCATTAACAGCTTTTGCATCTAGATTGTGTCCTATGACCAGATTTTTAAGAAATGACAGTTTTTCCCCCTTTCATTATCAAAACTTACTACCATTAAAACTGTTTAATTGCTGCAGTGGAGGAGATGGGAGATATGCATTTGCTTTTTTTGGCTTTGTCAGAAATACTGGCATTTTAATTTAACCTTGTAGTGTTACATGGAACTCAGCAGTAAAAACACAAGTATTTCTATTCACTAAATGGCCTTTACTTTAAGATTTTTTTTTTAAATCTATAAATTTCAAGATTCTGTCCATATTATGGACTCCAAAACAGAAATCAGACTAATGGAATACGACAGAGAATTCTTATTCTATTTGGCAGATTGTTAAAAACCCTAAGCAGAATTTAATCACTTCTCTTCGTCTGATACAGACAGACAGCAAAAAAACAGGCCACGGAGAGCAAGGGGGTTGTTGACTATGTAACCAGCTATATTAGGATTGCAAATGTTGGCTAAGGATAGAGGAGCTCATTGCTCTTAGCCGTATCAGTTTGTGTACGAGTTAAT